ATTTTCCTGTAATCTGATATTGGGGTATACATGTATATGTATTATAGTTTTTGGTCTGTTCGTCTATCTGTTTTTCCACAGAAAAAAAACTTGATCACATCTTTTACACGGTTGGTTTTTGAGCTTTTATATATTATATATGTACATGTATCGGAAAAAAGTAAAAAAAACAAACCTAGGCTTCTTTTACAACCTTGACCTTTGACTTTGATCTCCTTTAAAAAGCAATTTCTGAATGGTTAGAGACAAAGTTTTTGTAATCCTTTGTGATACTCAGTGGCCGGGGAACCACTTTCTAAAGTTTGTTCTCTGCCAATTTAGAGCCAAACCCATGTATGCTCAACGTAGAAGTAGCGATTCATTACAATATTGAGTATTAATCAAACCCATTGATATTTTTTCAAGATATTTCTTGATCTATATTCAAGGTATACATGTTATTATCAGGCGTTTGTAGACTACCATAGCTTTGGAATTTGAAAAATTAAACAAAAAATATTTTAAAAGCTATTTTTCAAAATTTGTTTTCGAAAAGTTGAACAGCATCTATACAAATTATGGAAACAAATTTCTTTTGATTATGAAAACTATTAAATTATACAGGGAATAAACAAAGAAAATTAAAACTACGTTGATCCTTAAATGCGTCATAATCATGGCCAGGAATAACTAGGATTGAAGTTCTATACAAAAATGAGCTATATACATTTTTTATCAGTTGTAAACTATTTGCTGTAAACTGTAGAACAACGTTTATCTATATTTTACATCTGTAAACTATAGTTAACGCGAAAATCTATGTTTCACAACCGCAAACTATACTTAACACCGAAAACCATCATTTGCGATTGCAAAACATAGATTATCTGATAAATACAGTTTCACGATTTGTAAACTATAGTTTACAAACCGTCAACTATAGTTAACGATCTGATAAATATAGTTTCACGATTTGTGAAACTATGATTAACAACTCTTAACTATAGTTTACGATTGTAAACTATAGTTTACAAAAGTGAATCTATGTTTATCAACAAAATCTATTGTGAACGCTTTATTCAGACAGATAAACTTAGATTAGCATTCGTAAACTATAGTTAAAGACCGTTAAATATAGTTTTACAGGTGAAAACTATACTTAACGAATCGTTAACTATAGTTTACGGTTTGTAAACTATAGTTTACAGTCGATAAACTTAGTTTATCAATTGTGAAACTAGGTTTATCTCATTTTTGTGAATTTGGCGTGCCATATCTATATATACACATTTTTTCCATAGACAGGAGAATAATAAGGTAAAAAAAAAGAATGATCACTGGTACAGAGATAGCACAAAATCAAACATGCAGTGGCATTGTTTCAAATACATTTAACATAGTGAAAGTGCTACATGTATATTATATTGAGGGACATTTCTACCCCTTTCATTCTACTCAATCTCTCTTTCTGGCGAATTTGAAATGGGGTAAATTAAAAAAAAACCAGTTAACTTTTGAAACAAAATGGTGACTGCAATTAAATCCTAAATGGGACTTAAAAATTTGCAAGTATAAAAGGGCGAAAATACCCCTGTTTATAATATTTTTTATTCTTGTTTCAAAATAACCGACCGCCTTTTCCTGACGTCTCTCCTTGGCCCCGTCCCCTTCTCTGGTTCTTGGGTCTACTAAGTTCTTGGAAAGCGGACACGGTGTGCTTGCAATCTATATTTCAGTCGCAACACGTTGGATAAAATGAAAAATGGCATATTGCTGAAAATATATGATATCATCAATCTTACATTCCTCTACAAGCAAAGGCAGAAATAATTTAATTCCCTCAAGTAATAAAGAATTACGATAATTAATTACTAAGTATCATTAATTGGCAAAAACTTTCCGATTTTTCAAGTTTTTTTTATTAACTGCCCAACAGGAAATGTGACGGCGTCAGTTAGTCGAATATATGACATTTCCTACAGACACTTTGTATATAGAATGTACGATTCTATCCAGATTCTTATACTTTTTATTAAACGATCGCAAACAAAATCACCAAAAACTGCAATATTATTTATTCCTCTAAAGGTTACAGAATGCAATCTGGATTTCTTTGTAGAAGAGGATATGTCAAAATATCTTCGCCAAAGCAAAACTGCAGAATCAGCAACACAGCATTATTTACCATTTTCTGTATACATGTGAAAATTTTGCAAATTAATTCCATGCAGACGTAAATTTTAAATAAGAAATGAGACATGGGCGAGAAAACTTTTTTAGAAGATCTAGCTATGCACAGAATCTTAAACTCTTTTTACCATTGCTCTATACCTTGAAATATTTTAGAAATCTATATAATGATCAGGTCTCATATACACCAAGAAAAACAATAAAGTATCTCATGGGATATGAAAAGTACAAGAGAGTTTGCAAATGAGTGGAAGAGTTTAAGACTCTTTATTCAATTAATTCCCGAAAGAACAATGTGTGACGCAACAATATTAATGAACCGATCGGAAATGAACATCACGTTTTTCATCCTTTAAGAATTTAAGATTAAAAAACTGTAATCAATCATCTTGTTTAAGTTTTGCAAACCTTATTTTTCAACATTGTAAAGATCAGTTTAACCTCAATGTAGTACCTGGATGTTGAATCTTTATTTTTGGTTCGTAAATTTTATTGAGATAGCTGGGGCACCTTGAACTCGGCGATAGCTGACGGTAATCTCGGAGACTGTGAATCACCTGTATGGGGTACTTCAGAAAAACTCAAGGTCGACTTCGCGAAAACAAGACATTACTTTATATTTGCTATTTTTAGGCATGACGATCACGTGAAATTGTGTAATACCCACTTTTATTCGAAACGTGCATAATATCCTAATGATAATAGCATTATTTGTCCCAGATTGTAAAACTGAAAGTCAATAAGATTACTATTGATAAGGAGGCTGGGGGTCAACAAATTAACAAAAAAAAAAAAATATAAATAAAATAAAAAAAAATAAAAATAAAAAGATAACCACCAGATATAACTTAGATTTTTAGATATGATATCTTTAGCTGACAACTATCATTTTACAAAGAAAAATTTCATACGTGCCAGAAAAATCTCGTGCAACACGCACGGAAATAACAATTACAAAACAAAAAAGAAAACCAAGGCATGCCGGAAGAAAAAATTCCGGACTACAAGACGGCACACTCCTCGCCTGATATTAACAATATCATCAAATTTCAAAAAAGATATTTAAGATAATGTAAACATGTAATAAATTAAATTACAGTCCATTTACAGTCTCTTGTATTATCTGTTGCACTGAATGACAGAAATGTTCACTGTTCCACAAGAACGATAAGTTCTGTAACGGATCACATAAGTTTTAGGTTCACCATTCGCGATTATACGAATTATCACTTTACGCACTAAATCATCATCACTTGGTAGAGACTTGACAACGATTCCCATTGGCCAAGAATTACGGGGTAGTTCTTTATCGCAAAGTAACACCACATCACCAGATGATAGATTTCTTTGGGGTAGATTCCACTTACAGCGCATTTGAAGAGTGTTCAAGTATTCTGTCTTCCATCGTCTCCAGAAAATAGATGCTAAGTGTTGTACCCTCCTCCACTGTGTCTGTAACAACTCGTTTGTTAACATGATGACTGTTGTCTTTAACACTTGTTTTCTGAGTGTTAACATGATTCAGAGTAGGTACAACACAAGGGGTCAGTTGATTATGGATGAAGCTCTGCTTAACACTTGTTTTCCTAGATCCGTAGTCGAGCGCCCAGTATACGAAATTTACGTTCCTCTCCCATGTGAGAGGAGTGGGGAGGGTTGAAGATCGTTGTTCTCTGCTCGTTGAACAGTTGTGGAGATGTTCCCTCTACATTTATCACATTGAAACTGGCAGCACGAATGAAATTTGTTCCTCTGTCAGATCGAAAGACCCGAATGGCGATAAATCCAGAATGAAGATGATGTCATTTCCTCTATGACTTCGATATGTACAGCCCTGGTAACGAGGCAAGTGAATAGAGCAGCCCATCTTTTTACTGTTTGCTGCGCCACCTCTGTTACGTCGTGTGATAATGTTCCACGGTCCAAAAATGTCAACTCCAACGTTAGAGAAGGGTGGTTGTCCTGGTATGAGACGATCCTCAGGTAAGTTAGACATTTTCTGGTATTCTGGTACTTTTCTAAGCTTCCTGCAAGTGATGCACTTATGAAGGACAGATGACACAAGTCTTTTACCTCCAACGATCCAAAATCCAGATGAACGAATATGACCCTCTGTAATATGACGTCCTTGGTGTTTGACATCTGAGTGAAGTTTTCTGACGATAAGAGTAGTTACATGATGTTTTGCAGGTAGAATCATTGGATTTTTGAATGAAGCATCAGCACTGAGGTTTCGCAAACGACCACCAACACGTAAAATGCCTTCACTGTCAATGTACGGGTCTAGTTTTTGAATAGGACTGTTTTTTGACAAAGGTTTAGAGTCCTGTAAGTTTTCAATTTCCTCAGAATAGAATTTCTGCTGAATGTCTCTGATAATGACCATTTCAGCTTTGCACAGAAGGTCAACATCACTCATCATGCTCTCTGCTTTACGACACTTCTGAATAAATCCATAAACTTTAACAACCACTGCTACAAGTTTGTTCCACTTTGAGAATTTTGTAAGGAAATCATTGCTCAGGCCGTAAGCTGATTTTGTCTCAATGTCAGTTTTGTTACAGCGGATTTCCTTGTCTTCCTCGGGACTCACAAGAGGAAAATGTTCTTCAGAAGTTATGATGTCTGTTTTCTTAGGTTAGAGATCCAGACACAGTTCTGCATTTCCCTCGGGAGAATTCCTCTCGTGCTAACATCTGCTGGGTTAATTTCACTACGTATGTAGGACCATTGTGATGGATCACGAGACTGAGAATGTGAGCAATACGTATTAGCGACGTACACAAAAAATCGTTTCTTAGCATTGTTTATGTATCCTAACACAATCCGACTGTCACTAAAATATTTCACATCGTCTATTTCTATCTTTAGCTGTTCTTTTGCTGTTTGTCCTACATTTACAGCAAGTACCGCGGCACAAAGTTCTAGTCTAGGGATTGTATGTCCACTGACAGGGGCCACTTTCGCTTTCCCTAAAACGAAGCCTTGAGAAGTAGAACCATCGGGATAGTGCACCTTTAAATAGCAAACAGCAGCTATGGCTAGTTCGGACGCATCACAGAAAATGAGTAGTTCTTTCCTATGTGCTTCGCTCAGATTAGGAACAATCACTCGAGGAATTTGTAACTTTTCCAAGTCGGGTAAGTCATTCTTCCATTTCTCCCATTCTTCAAGTAGGTAATCAGGTAGGGCTTCATCCCAGTCTGACGTGTCTGACACTACTTTCCGCAAAATGATCTTGCCCTGAACAATAACTGGGGCGATGAATCCGAGAGGATCATAAAGACGGTTCACAACAGAAAGTACACCTCTCCTTGTAGACGGTTTGTTTTCACTAGAAACTTTGAATTTAATGGTATCTGTCTGTAAGTCCCACAAAGTCCAAACTGCTTTGAGTTAAGGCATCCTTATCGAAATTCAGGTCAACAAGGTTCTTGGCAAGGTCATTAGAATCAAAGGCTTCCATAACTTCTTTGACGTTAGATGCGAATTTGTGAAGTCTTATGTTACCATACTCCTTCATGGCATCCTGAGTTTTGTGTATGAGGCTGACTGCCTCATAAGTAGTTGCACAAGATTTCAAGCCGTCGTCTACGTAAAAGTCGTTCACAATGAAGTCTTTCACTTCCTGTCCATGGGTCTTAGCAGCTAGCTCACCAATGCGACGTAAACCATACATTGCCACGGAAGGAGAGGAACGATTGCCAAATACGTGAACTTTCATGGGTAAGTAACCAGTGGTTTTTCAAAATCATTATCCTTGTGCCACAAGAAACGTAAATAGTCACGATGGCCTTCATCCACCAGAAATGAGTGAAACATGCTTTGAATGTCAGCAACTACGGCTACTCTTTCCTTCCTGAAACGAATGAGAATTCCCAGGAGATTGTTTATGAAGTCAGGTCCTTGTAACAGCTGTTGGTTCAAGGACACACCCTTTGAATTCCGCTGAGGAGTCGAAGACACCACGAATTTGATCAGGTTTATGAGGATGGTAGACTCCGAAAAGTGGAAGGTACCAATGTTCCTTATCCGGTAGTATATATGGACCCAATTCTGCATGATCACAGTCAAATATTTTCTGCATAAATGTAGTGAAATGTTCCTTCTTGACGTTGTTTTTTCTTAAGGAGGCATCAAGACATTTAGCACGAAACAATGCTTGTGAGTAGTTGTCTGGAAGTTGTTCACGATTTTGCCGGAAGGGCAATGGAGCAGTCATTTTCCTTCGGGGTTTGGGTCAAGATGAAACTTGTCGTCCATAATCTTCAGAAAAGTGCGATCTTCAATGAGAGGCCGAGTTTATTGTCATCTGGTGTTTTCTTGAAGATATCTGTTTTTCCGATGACAGTCTTGTTGTGTGTGCAGTGTTCTGTATGTTTAACGTTTGTTTGCAAGGTTCCAACATTGTAGGTCGACCACTTTTATTGATAAAAGTTCTGTTGACGTGTAATGGTGGAATGTGTTTTCCAGACAAACAAACATCTCCAATAATTGTCCATCCTAAAGGAGATCGTTGAGCAAAAGGAAAACGTGGTGGTCCTAATCTCTGATCAATAACGTGATGTGCCTCTGGAATCCGTCCGATAAGCAGGAGGACGTCCATAGATGGATCTAACGGATGTAGGTCTCGAGCAATATCCTGCAGGTGTGGATAATGACGAGCGATATCCGGTGTAGGAATTTCCGTCTGACTGTTTGGTATGTTATCGCACTCCAAGACAGGTGGTAATTTCAACTGATGATTGTCACTGATTGGCTCGATGACAAGGTTGTCAGCAACACGCCCACTACTGGTAACCTTGCCTGAACACGATTGCATTGTGTAGTCAACTGGCAGAGTTTTGATACACAAAGAGTCAAAAAGGTAACTTTTACCTAGAGTTTTGTTGCTTTGGTCATCCAACATAGCGTAAGTCACAATCGATGCTTGACGTTGACCTTGAACATATACGCGCACTGGTACAATCCTTGCACACGACTTTCCACTAAATTCACCACAAATATCAGTACAGTTAGAAGAAACTGACTGCTTCACATTTCCAGAAAGTGAGTTTTCCTCCTCGCCATGGTTTAGTCGGGAAGAAGAATTCCTGGACATCTGACGGTTACTAACATCCTCATGAAGAGCTGTACAGTGGTAGGTACTTTTACACACATCACACAAAACTTTGGATTTGCATCGATTAGCGAAATGATCTGACGTTTCACAACAACGAAAAAAAATGTTATGATCTCGTAGAATGTGTTTGCGTTCCTCATACTTTTGGTTCTGAAAGCTTTACACTTGTTTATAGTATGTCGAGATCCTTTGTGAATCAAACACTGATGTCCGCTATTCACTGTTTCTGATGAAATGTCAGTTTTGTGGGTAAATACGGAATTTAACTTTACTTTGTCCTTTGCGATCAAGGCGGTTCTCCTTATTAGAATCATCAATATCAACCCAGGATCATTTCTGATGATGCTCATCTCACCAATGAATGCCACAAACTCACTGAAAGGAGGAAAGATTACACAGTGTTCTTTCTTGTAATGAACCACACGATTAATCCACTTCTCCTGGAGATAACGAGGAAGTCGTTGAACAATTGGTTTTAATCCAAGGGATGAATCAAGGTATGAAAACATCACACTGTATTCTGGAATAGCTTTCACGGCCTGCACCTCGCAAGTAGGTCATGAAGTTCATACAACTTCTTGTGGTCTGCGAAATCTGTTATAACTTGCAGACGAGATTTCAGGCTTGATTCTATCAATTCAGGCGATCCGAATCGTTCATCCATACGTTTCCAGATATTGAATAAGCATAGTTCTGGATTACTCGCACATGAAGCTCTAAAACTTTATAATCAGTCTGTTAGCTTCTGAGTTTTTGTTTGTACAATTGGTGAGAAGAGTTAATTCTTCCAGTGATGAACACCTTATTTCTGACACCATAGTCTTAAACTGTGTTTTCCACACTACATATCGATCTGGTTTGTCATCAAAACGCTGTTGTTGAAAACTTTCCAACAGTAAGTTCTTTTTGAGTAGGAAATTTGAGGCATCTGAATAGTTCTGTGATGGTAAATTCACGGTAGACTGTGTTGGTATCTGTAGCAGTGGGAAACAATAATTGTAACATTTCTGTGAAGATGGTTTGTACGAGTTCCACTATTGAATATGAAAGGCTCAGCATTGGGGTTCAATGTGAGATTGTCAACAAAGTTTCTTGTTTTCTGCTCACCAGATACACTAGGAACACTGGGTTTTAAATCTTGATGTTCCGTGGTTTCTTCCTCCTCTTCAAGTTCAAATTTAAGACGCATATTTGCAATGTCCAGTTCTTCCTGTTTTTGCAGTAATAATTCCACATCTATATCTTCCTGTTGCTGTTGACTTTGAGCTTTGTGGATTTTGTCTTCTAGGGTAATTTTGGACTTTTGTTTTTTCAGTTTTGCAGACTGTTCAGCAATTTTAAGGCGGGTTTTAGCTTCCTCCACTTTCTGTTGTGAACGTCTACTAAGGGTTGATGATTTAGAACTTGCTGTCTTATGAGACGGGTTAGAGTTCACTTCCAACTGGACCAAATCAATATCATCTTGTACTTTCACTAAAGCGTTTTGAACCTTCTTATTTATCTCGTTAAAATTCTTCCGTATAGTGTCTAACTCTTGTGTACTATCAGCTGTGTGTTTTTCTATCGAGGTAATCACCAAATTCTTCATGATAATCTTTGTAACGCTTGAAACTGTCCTCAAGTTTTTCTTTCACTGACTTTAATGCGTAGATCTCTTTTGCAGATGAAGCACATTCTATCAATACACTTTCAATATCCTCTGAGAAGCGTAAAGTATGCTCTATACCTCTGAACTTTTTCTTGATATTGTTCTTGTGCTTTCTGTGTGAGGGTGTGCACTCTACGTGACGTATCTTCATCCTCTGTAGAAATCTTCCCCAGGTTATGAGCCATGTCTATGTAGTTGAAACTCTGGAATGTTTCACTAATCTTTTCACTATGCTGCCTCCATTAATAACACAGCTAGTTAACCGTTGTTCTATGATTTATTGTGACGAAACATAACGAAACGAAACGAAACGGTGAAAAGCTCAAAAGACAAAGACAATAATAAGTGTGATGTACAATGCTCAAAGTTCAGAAAATTAATGAAAAATCTGAAAAAATACCTTTGCTCAATAAATATGACACAATACTGAGAAATATGTGTGTGTAAAATTAGCATTACTTTACAAATATCTGCATACATTGACAAAACATGGAAAAATTTAGACACTCAAAATTCCCGGTAAAATTTGACAGAAAATTCACACACATAAGAAAGAAATACTTTGCCGAAAATATATAAGCGTTATACAAATAACTGAAAGTTAAATATATGAAATACTTACATTGTGGGCAGAGTAAACAACTGTAATAACAGTATGACTGTACATGTACTGAAATAAGGCGACGAGTGCCAAAAAATCTCGTGCAACACGCACGGAAATAACAATTACAAAACAAAAAAGAAAACCAAGGCCTGCCGGAAGAAAAAAGTCCGGACTACAAGACGGCACACTTAGCTGTTACGAAGGAATCGGGGTCACCCAAGAGGATTGATTGTCAAGATTGTGTATTGTTTAACGTCCCTTTTTTCACTCATATGGAGACGCCAACACTTGCCGGTGGAAAGCTGCAATTTTTTTCTAATACCCGGCACTCAGGGCCATTGAGCAGTGAGGGATCATTTCGTGCCAACACCTGCGACACGTGACCTCGGTTAATACGGTCTCATCCGAGGGACCGATCTCCACGTCCCACAGTGGGATTCGAACCGTAAGGATCAACTCCTTTCTCCGTGACTCTATACTCTAACCAGTGCGCCTCGTGGGCGACCACACAAAAACAAACCAAATATGAAATTATTAAATGTGTAGAGGAGTCAATTATCCCTAAAGAAAGAAGCGACTCCAAATTTTGGATTTTTCCAAACACCCTTAGTACGATTAAAAAAAAAAGAAGATTGAAATCTACAAAAATTATGAAACACCAGATCTTACCCCATTCAAAAAGCGGTACCTACTGGGAAACATGACAACGTGACAATGCACTTTTCAAATGGTCCACGGAAAAACACGTTAAAAATATTTCAATATTAAGTATCCTTCTAAAAAGGCAGAAGAATTCCGAGTTTCGGGCAAACAGAGGCTGGTTAGACCTCATTGGGTGTTTCCCCAATTTGTGGTGAGCGTGGAGAAGTCCAACTTTGAAAATGATGGAAAACTATTAAAATTCAAAATTAATCAAGGGGAAGCCTTGTGATATATTTAACGAGGATGAGACAGGTCTAACTTTTTTTAAACCCCCAAAAAAACCTCTCTGACTGAAAGGTGAAAAATGTTCAAGGAGCAGAAAATCAAAGGACAGATAAATCTTATTAGATGTCTTAAATATAGACGGTGCCGAAAAATTAAAACTCCTTGTAATTGGCAAATACATGTACAAGTGAGGTGTGTCAGAAGACAATCAATCGGCAATCCTCGGCTGACTCCGACAAGCTCCATTAAAACCTCGGATGTGATGGGTGAAGGAATACGCATCAGGTCGCTACATTTCTCCGCCGGAAACTGCCTTGTCACCCATTTATTATTTCGCATTGCATAAAGTTCTTCGAAATGGTAGCTTATGTTAGTAGG